CTACATCCACATCTACATCTACACCTACATCTACATCTGCATCTACATTTTCGCATTGGTTTTGCACTTGGCAACGAGGATGAAAAGCATTACGACGCGGTGCTGAACAAATACATGCACACACACGCGCACACACACACACACACACATGCAGCGTTCCACATGGGTGTTATGTATATATATATATATATATATACATAAATTTGCATACATAGAAATACATATAGGACATGCGATAATACGTCGGGTGTCATGTCTCCCGGCCGGCGCTGCGTGCGAAACCTTCGTGAATCCTAGTTGCTCAAGCAGCCCCATTAAGGGCTCAAGATGGCCCACAGACGGACAACATGCATGGAACATACGTGCGCCCACACACACATAAGTGTATCTATATACATATAGCAACAATAGTGGATGCTGTGATGCGCTATGCTACGCTATGCTATGCTCTGCTCTGCTCTGCTATGCTACGATATGCTATGCTATGCTATGATATGCTATGCTATGCTATGCTGCGCAATGCTATGCTGGGCTGGGCTAGGCTAGGCTAGGCTATGCTATGCCATGCTATGCTGCGCTATGCTATGTTGCGCTATGTTATGCTATGCTATGTTATGCTATGCTATGCTGTGCTCTGCTATGCTATGTGCTTGCTTTGCCTTCGCGTTTGCCTTCATGTTTGCCTTCACTGTTGCCTTTGCTTTTCCTTTTGCTTGGCACCCAGGGAGCGCAACTGGGGGAACCGCGCGTTTGCTTTTACCTTTGCTGTTGCTTTCGCTTGGTTCCCAGGGGACCGGGGGAGCCGCCCGGGGCGATTTACACTGCCCGGCCCCTTTAAGCTAAGAAAGTAAGAACACTTCTAGGCAGAGCCTAGGTAAGAAATCAAGGCATCTTAATTCAAAGGGGGAGCTTTCCATGTCAGCGTAGGCAGCGGGGCAACGGGCGGCCTTAGTGGTGGGGTGGTGGTGGGCAGTAGTCACAAGCTTGCCCGCCGAAGCGATCAGTCTCTCCAGCCGCCCGTGGAGTTGACGGAGGTCACAGAGCTTGAGCCCCCAGGAGACCGCGAACTGAGAGCGGAGGTGGCGGTGGTCGTTTTGCCAAGGGCAGCAGACACCCAGTATGGTTTCAAGCGTGCCCCCTGACCCGGAGGGGTCAGGGAAGGGCCAGAAATGGGCCCGGGGGTCGCGCTTCATAAGCAGCATGATGATGAGGGCGCAGCGGGCCCTCTCGGTGGACATGATGCGGTCGTTGGGGTCAAGCAGCTCGACACGGCGCTGCGTGGTTCCACCGTGGCCCTGTAGGAGGCTGACGAGTGTTTCGTAGTCAGGGGAATGCGGCGGCGCGGGCAGGTCCTGGCCTCGTGGGACCACGCACGGGGGACATGGTGCTGGAGGTCGTGCGGGGTGCAGCGGTTCTTGTTCGGGTGTGCTGGTGGGGATACTTTTGCTCGCAACCGCAAGCGGGAGAGCCGCGCGGCGTCGTAGAATCGTCGGAAGGCCAAAAATACTAGCGGGGATACTTTGTTGGTTCGCGGGCTCGCAAAGCAGGTCGAAAGCCGTCCGAACACTAGTCGGGCCGCGACTAGGCAGCAAGAAAAGAGAGACAAGCGAAGCGAGCGCGCGGGCAGCCACTCAGAAGAAGAGCCAGCAACAAAACTCCCAACCTGGTGGCGTGGAAACCCCGGTGGCGACCAGCAAGTAAGCGCAGCCAACATGGCGCGGCGGCGCGACCATAAACACGCAGAGGTCAATCACTCAGGTCCAACAGGCACACCCGGACGACGTCCGTGCCGTAGGCGACACAACTGCATCGTGTTAGCGCAAGAGTGAAGAGGGGCAACCTCGTCACAGATAGGACTGCAAACGGCAGTACCTCTTGTTTGTACAGCAGTGGCACATGTCGAAAGCGAAGTCCTTGCAGGAGAAAGCAGCCGACGGGCGCGCCGAGCCACGCATGCCGAAGTCCAAGCACCGTGGAGGCCAGCAGCGTGCGAGACCCCACTGAACCCTTTCGGTCACCAGTGGAGGCCGACATCAGCCAGCAGCAGGCCAGGGGCCACCTGACCGCCCATTCCCAATGTGATCCATGCATGGAATTCGTAGCGAGACCCCACCGAACCCATCGGTCACCACTGGAGGCCGACACCAGCCAGGAGCAGGCCAGGGGCCACCTGACCGCCCATTCCCAGCATGATCCTCGCATGGAATTCAGGCTGTCAAAGCACCACCAGACAGCAATATTGGCGGCAACCCGAGGTCCAGGTATCGTAAGGTAGGCAGTGCAGCGAGAGACCCACTGGAACCTCCCGGGCTGGGGGCCGACACCGGCCAGGAGCAGGCCAGGGGGCACCTGACCTCAGCGACTGCGACGCAGCACCATTCCCTGTGTGAGTCCTTGCGCGAATTCCAGACCAGGGGGCACCTGACCTCAGAGAATGCGACGCAGCACCATTCCCCGTGTGAACCCTTGCACGAATTCCAGAACAAGACTGCCATTCGGTAGTAAAACCTGCAACATTTGTCGAAAGCGAAGTCCATGCAGGAGAACGTCGGCCAACGAGCGTACAGAGCCACACATGCCGAACCCGAGGTCCAGGTACCGTAAGGTAGGCAGTGTAGCATGAGACCCACTGGAACCTTCGGCGTCAGTAGGAGCAGGCCAGGGGGCACCTGACCTCAGCGAATGTGACGCAGCACCATTCCCTGCGTGGACCCTTGCATGAATTCCAGACCACCTGAACGCCACCAGGAAGCAGTATTGGGCAGCAGACCCCAGCCGCCAGGGAAAAACCCTGCGAAACAGGAGGGAGAGCACCCGGGTGCAGGAGGAAAGGAAGGGAAGTGCACGCCAGGCACGGTAGGCACCCCGGAGTGGCAGCTAACCGCTGCAGCATTAGGATGCAGGAGGGGAGGGAAGGAAGTGCACGCCAAGCACAACAAGGAAGCAGGAAGAGAGGAGGGGAAGTGCACGCCAGGCACGGTAGGCACCTCGGTGCGGCAGCTAACCGCTGCAGCATTAGGATGCAGGAGGGGAGGAGGGGGCACGCGGAAACGCTAGGCACACAGGCACAAGGAAGCAGGAGGAGAGGAGGGGAAGTGCACGCCAGGCACGGAAGGCACCCCGGCGTGAACGTATCAACCCCGTCTACCGCTGCGCATCCGTCGATCTCAAGTCCAGGGTTGCGACGGAAGGTCGCACTTTCGGTGTGTATCACAGTGCCGAGGGGATCAGCCCCTCCCTCCGATTGACTGGGTCCTCGCGTGCCCGAAGCATCGGCCGAGGCGCTCCCATTCCAGGGAACAGAGAGCGACGGTTGCCCCGGCGGGATGGTGTCCTGAGATCCAGGGCGAGTCTGTCCAAAGTCGTTTGGCCCAGTGGTCCCGAGGCCGACATCGGATGATGCGGCTCTTTCCCCCGCAGGGATGACAGGATTGTCGCCGATCGATCGCAAGCTATCAGGCCGACCATCCATGAGGCAGCGGTCCTGATCCGATCTGAGCCTCTGGCCGCTGAGCCCGTCTGCGCGGCGGGCAGGCGTTCGCGATGGCTGGCGCACCCGGTGCCGGAGGGGGTCCAGGGCCGCGGGCCCCCGGCGCAGCGTCTGGGCGCCCCCTTGAGCGGCGGGAGACTGCCCCGGAGAGGGCAGGCCCACCAGACGGCCTTGAGCCAGAGGGGCTACGGACGAAGTGGGGGATACGCGAAGCGTCAAGAATTGTACGACTGCTCGCGTGCGCATACCAATTCTGAGCATAAAGCCGATGATGCCGCACATGCTAGCACACTTGAAAGCACCGCTCGGATCCATCGCAGTGCAGCCAACCCAAGCGCGTATTGGTAATACCAGGCTCCTCACGCCCGTCCAAGACGGACAGTCCCACCCGCAGGCGCGACATTCACACCCAAATGGATGAGATGTACTCCTCGAGATGCGGCAACGGATGCTTGAGAGAAGGGACGTGCGCACCAAGAGGAGTCCCAAGGTACTCGCAAGCGCTCCCACAGTTTGCCCCGTGCGTCTCCCCTCCCACACTCGTCATTCGCAGACAAATACTCTGTGCAATGGGAAAAACAACGAATCGAAGAATTGCAGCGGCCAACCCTCCGACCGACCCCAGCGAACTCTCTGGGCAAACACAGCCAACCCTGGCCAGGCCTCCTGGCTACCCCCTGTGGCCAACTCTGGTTAGGGCAATTCTTCCCGCGGGACCTACTGCATGACAGCCGACTCTCGGAGATCTGCGCAAATTTGTTGGGGCGGCGCTGGGCCCCCTCCCCACACCAGTCTATGGGCACGCGCAGTGCGACAACGGGCGGCGCCGGAGGCGCCGCTGGGGGGGTGGAGGGGGACGGGGGCGCAGCGCCAGAGAGGAGAGATCCGAGCAGGCCTTCGAGAGTTGAAGCTTCTGCAATCTTGACTTCTTCGACTCTCATGGGCCCCCGTGCTTCTTGTCGCTCCCCCGCCCCGCTCGCCGCTGGGACGCCGACAACCACACGCCGACACCGACATGTGCAGGGCCAGTCCATGGCTCGGGATCGGTGTATGCGCCTTCCTGGCCTGGCAGGGACGGCGCATACCCAGAACTCCGACGCCGTGCTTTTTCACGACGCGGACCCCCCGAGGTAGGGGCCCCCTCCCCGCGACCGGCTTGCCATTCCGAGTCGTTTGCGGACGGCCCTGGGGTCCGAACACGGCCAAAAGCCTTCCGCCGTGAACTTCTCTGTTCCGCGACGAGGAGGAGGTGGGGTTAGGTCGGGCATGTCCCCCTACAGGCGAATTTTGGGCGCAAAATTACAAATACCCCAAAAATAATCAAAAATGGTGGAGAAATAATCGAAATATCGTCCCGACTATCTGTTTAGTATTTTCGAATATGCCTCCTGTAGGGGGACGTCCAGACTATTTTTGTACTATTTGTGAATATTCCTCCTGTAAAAGGATATGCCCAACTTAACCAGTTCCCCCCTCTCAACCACCTCCGCGAGCGTTGCGCCGGAAAGGCCTCAGCACGTGCGTCGTGAGGCGCTCGGCCTCGAAGAGCCCGATGCAGAGGGCGGCGGAGCAGACCTTCTGCTCCCCCCAGCCAGGGCGACCCTCACCTCCTCCCGTGGTGAGTAGAGATCAGGATGGACGATCTTCCACAGGTTTCAACCTCCGGGGGGCCTGACTGGGCCCCAGGACCGTCAACCAAAAACCGCTCGGGATGCAGATCCTGTCCCGGGGAATGGGTCCAGGCATCTGGGACTCCACATTCGGAAAGTAGCGCGACTTAGGAGTTCTGGGGATAGTTGAGAACTTCGAGGAGAGAGAGAGCACGAAGGACGACGAGATTTGTTAGACGTGCTTCGCCCTCTTGCGGTTAGGAGCTGTTGATTTTCATGTCGCGGCGGCGCCCCTGGCGGCACGCTACGCCTTGCAAGCTTGCGAGCGGATGGCGTGTTGCTCCGCTCCGCGGGGCAGGAGGCTGGGGAATAGTCGCGACGTTGCCGCTCAGGGACTGGGACGTGGCTAGCGTGCCGCGCCTGAGCGCAGTGGGCCCAGACCAGCGGCGCGACACGCTGAGCAGGACTTCCTGCCCGCAGATGGGGCGCGCTTCATCCCTCTTCGGAACCTCTGGGAGGCGTCCCGTCGCCACAGCTGGCATCCGCCTCGAGGACCTGGCCAGAAAACGCACCATGGGAGAGATCTGAGGGGAGGGGGGCACAGCCGGACCTAGAACAGAAGAACGCCCCTCAAGAGCATGAGACCCTCCGACGGCCAAAAAACACCAAGCCCTGGGATCATTCGAGGGTGCCCTCCCCCAGGGTGCACAAGAACATCCAACGAACACGAAGAGCACGAGGGCACCCTCCCCGAACCGACATCGATCTTACACCTCGGTCAGACCGTACGGCGGATCAGACCCAAACAGAACATCCAAGGGTACCCTCCCCCGGGGTGCACAAGAACATCCACCAAACACGACGAACACGAGGGTGCCCTCCCCGAACCGACATCGACCTCTAGTTACCTGACCTACGGCGGATCAGACCGTCGGCTCTCCCGAGGCGGGGCGAGAGGGGCCTCAGGAGGGAGGCGAGGGCGCCGAGAGGGCGAGCGCTGGCGGGCCGCGCCGCTGGAGTCGGGAGGCCGCGCGGCCCCGAGCCTCCCGGCAGCGCAGAGAGCGGCGGAGCAGACCTGCTGCTCTCCCGAGCCGAGACGACCCTGGCCTCCGCACATCTCGTGAGAAAATCACGACGGCCGGTTTTCGACGCGTTTCAGCCTCGGGGGGTCCTTGCCGGGCCCCGGGACCGTCGAAGAACAGGTGGGGAGGAGGAAAGGAGGGCGAGGACGGCGGGGAGAAAGGAGCACGAGGAGGGCAAGGGCTCTAGGGGTCCACGTTGGAAAGAAAGGCGAGGATGGCGAGGAGACAGGGGCACGAGGAGGGCCAGGGCAAGGACTGCGAGGGTAAGGGCGAGGGCGAGGACGATGAAGGGGAGCGAGGTGGAGGAGGGAAGGAGGGATATGGGAGGACAGGAGAAGCGAGGTAACAAGAATGAGGACGAGAGCTAAGTCAGGAGCAGGAGCAGGAGGAGGACCTCCTCCCCCACATGTCCATCCCTCTTTCCCTCCTCGAATTCACCATCCTCACGAATATGATCACAATCACATCTGTATGTGCTGCTCCTCCTCCTTCATCTCCTCCTCCTCTTCCTCCTCCTCCTCCTCCTCTTCTTCTTCCTCCTCCTCCTCCTCCTCCTCCTCCTCCTCCTCCTCCTCCCCCTCCTCCTCCTACTCCTCTTCCTCCTCGATCATCATCATCATCATCATCATCATCATCATCATCATCATCATCATCATCATCATCATCATCATCATCATCATCATCATCATCATCATCATCATCATCATCATCATCATCATCATCATCATCATCACCATCACCATCATCACATCACCATCATCGTCATCATCATCATCATCATCATAATCATCATCATCATCATCATCATAATCAGCATCATCCTCATCATCAGCATCATCATCAGCAGCAGCATCATCATCAAAATCATCCACATCATCATCATCATCACCATCATCATCATTATCATCATCATCATCATCATCATCATCATCATCGACATCATCATCATCATCATCATCATCATCATCATCATCATCATCATCATCATCAGCATCGACATCATCATCATCATCATCATCATCATCATCATCATCAGCATCATCATCATCATCAGCAGCAGCAGCATTAGCATCATCATCATCATCAGCAGCAGCAGCATCATCATCGTCACCATCATCATTCACATATCAACATCAGGGTCGGCATCAGCATCGCCATCGTCATCGTGCTCGCCCATCCTCATCATGAGGCGGCGCGCTTCGCGGGGGCGTCCTCCCCGAGGGCCTCGGCCTCGAACTCGCCGATCGGATGCGCAGGGCCCCACACGCCCCCGCCGCCCCTCGCAGCCTGGGGCCGCCGGTTGGTAGCGCGCCCTCGGCGGCGCGACGAGACGAAAACCGTGGAGCTGGGGACGCCCGGGGCAGACCGCGCGAGGGCGTGCATGGACGGCACCGACGACACCTTCGTGGTGTGAGGCCCCGAGCTGCACGAAGGGGCCCCAGCAGCACGGCTGCCGACGTGCTCAGACCTCCGACGGTCTGACTGTTTCAATCCGGGCGTGTGTCCTCGATGTCACGAGCCGCTCTTCGGGCCCCAGGCGCCGCTCTTCGGGCCCCGGAGCGACCGGAAATGGATCTGCGACGAGAAACCACAACCAGGAAAAGGGTCGGGACCTCTCAGGCGGCGGATCTAACAAAAAAAGCACTGGCGGATGTCAGGGTGTGCGGGCCTTGAGGCCCTGGGCGCCGCTTGCATGGTGAAGGCCGTGCCCGAGGTGCTAGTCCGAGGTGCACTACAGCGCCCAGCAGCTGGCTGAGGCCTCGAGGCCACGGCGAGGCCGAGGCTCAGCGCGGCGGCGACAGCAGCGAGGACCCGCCGAACGGCCTATACGACGGGAACCTGGTCGAGGCAGGCCAGCTCGACGCCCAGCCCGACAGTACAGGGAATGGAGCTCCTCATTAGCCAGCCGCGAGCGCTCTCGAAGTAAGCAGATATCATGAGGGGCATCGACGACGCCGAGGGCTGGGCTGCGCGAGGAGACACCATCGAGGGCCGCATCGCCGAGCTGGCCCGCGGCAGGCAGGTGCCATCTCGGGCAAGCTCCGAGGCGAGGGGCCGCTGCGGCGGCGGCCCACAAGGCGAGAGAAGCAGGGAGACCTCTGCGACTGGCCCAGCTGCGGTCGGGAACCTCTGCTTAGCGTGTCGACGCGGCGGCCCTGGCGACGGGCTACGTCTTGCAAATGGATAGCGTGTCGCGCCGAGGCGTGGTGGGCCAGAACCAGCGGAGCGACACACTGAGCCAAAGTTCCTGACCGTACAGGGCAAAGGGCAAGAAGCGCTGAGAGCGAGGGCTCAGGTGAGCGGGGGGAATGTGGCGCTCTTCCGCTGGTCCTGGAGCCCGGCGCTCCGGAGACGGTGGGCTCTCCCGTCCCTTGTCCGGCCACACACCCTGTGCAGACCACGGGGGGGAGTAGGAGGGGGGCAGAGGAGCTGTGTGCTGTGTGCTGGCCCCACTGCCTACATGCGCATGTTCTCAAATTCGGCCGCTGAGGACTTCTCGAGGCCGAATGGCGTCGCGGGCGGCACCCGTTCGGGGGTCCTCCCATCTCGGCGGCTGCGAGCTGCTGTTTTGCGGCTTCGGCCTGTCGCAGTTTGAACACGTGGGGCCTGCCCCGTGCCGCGAAAGTCGCACGACACGGCCATGCCGTAATCGGTTGCGGCAGCAGCTCCCCTGGCGAGAATCGACCTCCCCCTCTTTTCTCTGCTCCCGCCCCAACCCATAGTGCAGCGGTAGCCCCGCCGCCACCCGCCATCGCCGTCGAAGGCTTGCTTTCTCCAAATATGTGGGATCATCATCGTTATCCTCCTCCTCCTCCTCCTCCTCCTCCTCCTCCTCCTCCTCCTCCTCCTCCCTCTTCCTTCTCCTCCTCCTCCTATTTCTCCTCCTCGCCGTCGTCACCACCACAATCATCATCATCATCATCATCATCATCATCATCATCATCATCATCATCAGCAGCAGCAGCAGCATCATCATCATCATCATCGTCATCATCATCAGCAGCAGCAGCATCATCAGCAGCATCATCATCAACAGCATCAGCAGCAGCGACAGCATCATCATCATCATCATCACCACCACCACCATCATCATCATCATCAGCAGCATGATCATCGTCGTCATCATCATCAGCAGCATCAGCATCAGTATCATCATCATCACCACCACCACCATCATCATCATCATCACCATCATCATCATCATAATCAGCATCGTCAACCTCAGTATCATCATGACCATCATCATCGTCATCATCAGCAGCATCACCATCATCATCATCATCAGCATCATCAGCAGCATTATCATCATTATCCGCATCAGCATCATCATCATCAGCAGCAGCATCATCATCACCAGCATCATCATCATCAGCATCATCGTCATCATCAGCATCATCATCATCATCGTCGTCGTCATCACCACCATCATTATCATCATCATCATTGGCATCATCAGCATCATCATCATCATCATCATCATCATCATCATCGTGTCATCAACATTATCATCATCCTCAGGATCATCATCAGCATCACCACTACCACCAACAACAACAGCATCATCACAAACGCCAATATCAGCATCAACAACCACATCATCACCACCCCCGCTACCACCCCCATCATCATCCTCATCAGCATGATCATCATCATCATCAACATCATCATCATCGTCATCAGCATTATCACCGCATCATCATCGTTCATCATCATTCATCATCATCGTAGGAATCATCACTCATCATCACTATTAGCAGCATCATCATCGCCACCATCGACACTATCATCGTCAGCATCAGCATCATCATCAGCATTATCATCGTCGTCGTCACCATCATCGTCATTACGCCCATGATCATCATCACCACCACCTCCATTACGG